TGTAATAAGCATTAAATAATGCTAAAATGGGACATTTTTAATGCCTCACTGCTCCTTAACGAGCATGGGCACCCCCTTTTTTATTTTATAATTGAAGTTCTCGTATGATAAATATTCAGTGGACAAAGTTTGAACTATTATCTATTGGCAGTTTTCTTTCAGGGGAATTACCTTAATATTTCATGCGCGTCTGGAAATGTTTGTTCATTCATTATCTTGTTACGTTATATGTTAGTGGCTTTCGGTAGTTACCCATAATAAGCCATTGTTTCGATAGTGTTAAAGGAAATTTGCTACAGCAAACGCTGTCCGCAACTAAGTAAGCCGAACCTTGTTATCTAATCATGCAATTAAAGGTAAAACCGCATGTAGAATTAATGCAAAGATTATCTCTGAAATTGTCACGTATGCTCACAAAACGGGAAGTTAGTGCCCACGACGTGTTGTAATGTACGAACTGAAACATGCTGTAACTTTCTCAACACAACACCGGACTCACGTGTCTGGGTGTGGATTTCCGTAGGTAATAAACGCAAAGTGTAATCTTGACTTTGTTAGAATTGTTGAATCGTTGAAGTTGTTAGATCGCAGAATATGCAGCGTCGGTGGGAAGAATAAAGTCAATTTATCGAAAGTATACAGTCTAAGATTGTCGAAACAGCACCGTACTGAGTTTCTCTCTATCGCAAGCGAGAAGTTCTGTAACAATGCGTCCATCTTTGAATACTCTTCAGCACTTCAGATGTTCATCACATCTCGCGTGCGCCCTTAATACTCCAGGATTCTAGGGCGCCATGATTGCATGTTCGAGGCTAGAATAGTCTACGATATTTTTGCTTTGGCGCAATGTTATAGAGTGTCAAATATATTTGCATCATTTTCTAACTTAAGATATCCCGAACTACACTGTATGTTGCCTAACGGCTTACCTCGTTTTCCAGCTGTCTTTGATCTACAGTTACTTGGTAATGCTGGAAGGAAACAATAAAAAGCAATTTCTTGGCGTTCCGTTTACTTATCCCATGATAAGGGCTCTCAGTGAAGCTGCGCTTTGATCCGTTTTAATATGATTAGTATTCCAGAAGCACAATACAGACAAAGAGCCCTTTCTCGTGTTTCACTACTCTCCACAATAAACAGATCTTCATAACTACATGTACTTAACTTTTCTATAAAATGCATAAAAAGGCTAATGTTACTGTTTTGCCTTTTTGGCATCAAAATGTAGGAAGCATTTATTAATCGATTTATTGAGATTTATTACTACAAAATAGGGTAAAAAGAGGAAAAGGAACGGAAAAAAAGAAAATTTCATAGTGCCATATATGAAGGGTGACGATTCGCACGTTTCCTTAAGTAATTATGAAGCACTTGTGACTAACAATATCTTTAAGGGACATATACAGTGTTGGAAACTAAAATTTGACAGCACTCGCCATTAGAGCGAGTGACTCTCAAAATCCACTCGCCCGGAGTATTTTTCACTCGCCCAGAATGATGTCTCCCTTCCCCCTAAAAATCTCCGCAATGATTCACGAATCATACGTTTTTCGGTATCCTGTAATCACGAAGGCCCAGCTGCAGTGTCATTTCGTGTTGAACTTTCTTGTTGTGGTCCATTTACGAGCGCCTCCTTGGGATTGCGACCGATTTTACTGCTTTAGCCTCGTTTTTATCATCAACTTTTGACACGCCTTGGAAATTTTCCACATTAGTGATTTCCATAGTTTTACCTAAAAAACAGGACCAGCCGGCACTACCAAATTCGCGTATACTGTTTCCCTAAAATCAAGACATCTTGTCGGCAAGTGGAAGACTGACGTCTTTTTCCTTCACTAAAAAATTATACTAAAAGACTTACAATCCAAAGATAACTACAACGAAGGCACTTCGAGGCAGTTTCTATTTCAAGATAAATCTTCCTGAGATTCGTTTCTTAGCGAACAAACATCCATGTTCCTCTCGAGTGTCATCTTCACTAAATACTGTCGGCTCAACTAGACACCAGCAGTTTCACTTCGTACACGTGTAACCGTTATGTAAATTATCACTGGAGGAAGCCGTAGTTTTGAAACACTATGTTCCGTATCATAGGCAAATTATTTGGGCATCTCGGCAGACAAAAGAAGGTAAAAAATCAAAGTGGCTATGAGCCACTCAACT